GCYGAGCGGGAAAACCCCCTCCCGCTGAAACATGTCACTGCATGGAATTTCTCCCCGCAACAGCCGACAATGCAGAAAAAAGTCAGATTCAACACTCACCCGACATATTTATCCACATCTGTCCTGGTTAAAGATCCACAGTTTTTATCAGTCAGATTCCTCCGTGCACAACATCTGTTTAATCTCGGGGAGCGAGTTGTTTCTTTTCCCCTTTTTTTTACTGAGTGGTTGAAGTAAATGCAGCACATAGTGCTTTCAGCACAAACACGTATGTGTTTTTTTTCCAGTTTGATTATCTTTATAAAACTCTGTTTCAACAGTTTGCTCAAGTCAGAAGCTTTTTTTTCTTTTGAGTGTCCGTCCGAGCGCTTTCAGTTTCAGCACAAACACGCCCACAAACTTCAGACCAATCACACATTACCGTTGACACGGGAGGGGGCTCAAAAAGTTCTGCCAGGGGGTTGTGCTAAAAGGGGCTGTCGACACGACGCTGCAAAGCCTGGTGACATAATTTTCGTCATTAAACTGCGACAACCAGTGCCAACGTCGGCAGTTCGGAGGGAGTATGTTTCTAGCTTTAGATTGTCTGAGTCCTATATCCCAGTGTCATTGATGTTCCCCTCAAAGACAGATGCTTTATGTGACAAGTAGCCAATCAGAAAGCAATGTGATGGAAATACAGAGGGGAATCCAAAATACAGAGGACAGAACAACTGCCATGGCACACCTGAAAGATGATGTCAGTCTAGATGTCTTTTTGTTTTTTCTCTATTGAAAATAGTCCACAACCATATCACCATTGCTTCTTCCTCATCTGTCATGTTTATTTACTCTGAACTCATGTTTGATCTTGAGAGGTTTAGCAAGATCTCTGATCTCTGAAAGTCTGATATCTGAATGTTAGAGTGAATTTTGTTTGTGTGTGGTGTATTTTNCATGTATTATCTCTCATTCACACTAGTATTATTACCACACATACACATGTATTATCTCTCATTCAAGCTGTCTCAGGTGGTTTAGTGTTGGGTGTGCATGCTTTTAATAGTGTGCATGTGTGATATCTTAATAGCATGTGTGTGCAACTGTTGTGTTGTGTGTGTGAGCAAGCTTTTAAACGCGTGCATGTGTGATATCTTAATAGTATGTGTGTGCAACTGTTGTGTTGTGCGTGTGTGTACATGCTTTTCTTAGCGTGCATGTGTGACATTTTAATAGTATGTGTGTGCAACTGTTGTATTGTGTGCATGCTTTTATTTGTATGCGTGTGTGATATTTTAACAGAATATATGAGCAAATATAGACTTGTGAGTGTGTGTGACGGAGTCTATAGTAGTGTGTGAGAGAGAAAAGATAGTTAACGTCCTACAGGGCGCCCCATAGTAGGACCAAACCTGTTATTTCTATATATATTTTTTATCGTCATGTGTGGGGCCTTTGAAAGCAATCTACAATTTTAAAGTCTTGCCATGGAACCAGGCATTTTTGGCCTGTTATAATTAAATTAAAAATTAATTAAAAGCTTTTTGAGCAACCTCACTTTGAAGGAATAGATACAGTTCTGATTAGATTAACAAGCAAATGGATAGTCCAAGAGAGGACAATGCCAAAGGGTATTCCAGTTTTCTGCAAACAACTTCAATAAAAAAAAAAACAACAACCTGCAAGTGAGGCACTACTGTCAAATTTGGAAATTCAATTATTTTCCCAGAAATATGGTAACATTTATGCAGGAAATTACTCAGGTTGCAGCAAAAATGCTTAAGTTAGCTGTCAATTCCTCACTTCGCAAATACAAATAACCACATAATGCTATGTAAATATGTAAATAATCATGTTATGTTATATTTAAAAAAAATTTTAGACTTTCTTTTTTTCCCTCTGCGTTTAGTTGTGGCTTTTCCACCCCTCTTTACGGTCTTCATCACTCCAACATCCAAGTTTACAGCTTTCTTTTGCTTATCTCTGGTGCCTCAAGAAGCATAGAAGTTACCATTGGCCCCCACCCGTCCACTTTGAGCAATCCCCACCCAACCTGCCCAAACCCCCTCTTTTTGTTTTACTGAAATAAGCAGTATTCTCTGGSCCCGTTTGATCCTTTGACTATGCAGGGGCTTCATGTCTGGCCAGTGTTTTTGGATCAGCAGGTAGTCGCAGGCAAGCTGTTATAGGGGTCATCATTCTTCTCTCTCTCTCTGCTCCTCTCAGTTCCTCGTACACAGATGGGGACCTGCTGAACTCTGCCAAAGGTCAGAGCTAAATTACATATTTTTGGAATTACTATTTCAGCCAAGGCTTTGTAAGAAGGGGACATAGAATAATGAAAGACAGCCAGAAAACAATTATTTGACATTTCCATTAATCACACAAAATGTGATTTCAATAGCTCAGAAATGTTTGAGATGTTTTTTGGGGGGTAAATTTTCAAATGCTTAAGTCTAATTTCACGCTTATAGGAAACAGAATTATTTTCTTTTTTCTTATTTACAAATTTGGCCTTTCCTCTGTCCTGCGTGGATTGAAAGGGTGGTCTGAAATGTGTGTTAAAGAAGAAACATGTTGGCTGCCATCCAGCTTATTGTACATCACGTTGGAGCTGGGTGCCATAGTGGTTTTAACTTGCCATGCAGCATCACACAAAACAACTGCCGGTGCACCATGTAGGACTTAGGACACATCCGCTGATGCATTATAAATGGAAATCAGTGCTTGTGTTAGTTGTCTTTGATGCAAAAGGAAAGATTAGCTTTTGCTTGTTTCATTGAATGCTTATCTACAGAGTTTTTGTATAAATATGTTTATGATCAGAGGTTTATAGAAGCCAAGTACATATACTTTGTTACAGAACATTTATATWTTTTTATGATTTGTAATTATAACTTTTACATTTGTGTTACATTCAATCCTGTCACAAGCTGTGTTTCCATTGACCATGAAAATGCGCAAATTAGAATTTCAAAAATAAATTTGTTCAGTGGAAACACGTCAGTTTAAAAAAAACTAACGTTTTTCGACTAAATGTTTTTGCGTTAGGAAGACGTGGTTTTTCGGCCGTATCGAAATTGATGTATTTCGCAAAACTGCAATGTAAACACTTTTTTCGCATCACGGGAGTCACGTGATCAAGAGCCGGCTGTTTCTACTGGTGAAAAAGACGACGAAGAAGAAAATAACAGGAAGTAAAAGTRGTWGTGAAATCACCGAAGTAGTAAAAGAAGGTAGTAAACTCACCGACTACATTTTCCCAAAAACACAGCATATGTAGCCGCTCCCAAGTATAAGGAGCTTGTCACTCGAAAGCCTCGATAAGACGCGACATGTCCTCTGATGGCTGATGATGAGTGCTAGTGTCGTGGTAGCAATATGCTGTGTGTTTACATCCATTGCCACCATGTTTGTAATGACTTATCGCGAGAACAAGCGTATTCTCATGTGACTTTAATAGTATTTCTAACTTAATGGAAACACTGCAATTGCGAAACTGTGTTTTTTAGACATTAACCGAATATCAACAAAGTTTTGCGCACATTTGCAATGGAAACGCAGCTACAGTTACAAAATAATTTTCAACAATTTTCTGAAGCCTGACCTTTTAGTGTTTGTTTCACCAAACCCTACCTACTGACCGTACAATTCATCATATTAATACTGTATATGTCAAACAGCCAGTATTTTCATCCAAAATCATTTCAATTTATCAAAAATGTATTTTTCTAAAATGTACCTGTACTCCACAATATACCCATTCGGAGACCTGCCTCCAAATTAATTTCTGATTTAAAAATCCTTCGTCTTAATATGTTATTGTTTTACTCTGCCCTCCCCATTTTTGTCTAGATATTATTTACATGTTTTATTTTTTGGATTGTACAGTCTTGATACCTTGATGGTTGTACAGCGTTTATACTTTTTGTTCCAAATATCCTGTTCAGATTGTATATATTTTGATTTGCCTCTGGTTGTACAGCACCTTGTGAATCTGTTTCTATGAAAGGTGCTATATAAATTAAAATTTACTTTTACTTTAAAAATTCAAATACAAATATGAGTGGAACGTGACATGAAAAGAGTTGTTTAATGTACTCTTAAAAATGAAGTTGTTGATTTACCTAACCAAGTTATGTCAATTGGTTCCACTAAACCAAGTTAAGTAAGTGTAAAGCAATGAGTAAATTGCTCAATTTCCTCAACTCAGTTTAGTGGAGGAACCAGTTTGGCTAAGTAAATTCAACGCTTCATTTCTTAGTGTGTGTTAAAGTACTTTTACTTTCCTGATTTTGTGAGCAGTTTTATGAATGCATCAAGTACCTTTTTTATCAATTAACTCATTTTTTTACCAACATCAATTTAAGGCAGTTAAGTACTTAATTATTTTAAGTACTTTATATACCTCTGTTTATTATTAGCATTTTGGACAAGTGTGAGCTTTTGAATCTGTGAGCGTATTTACTTGTAAGTGTGTATCTACATCCTAGAGCTATAAACTGCACATGTTCAAATTACTGTGCGCTCGTACATTAAGTAGGATAGAAGTAATGGTTTGTGTGGTTGGATAACTCAGTTTTCATCATCAGACTGCAGCATCTGCCATCAGATGTCTTCTCACCAGGGATCCCAAATGGTGCTAGAGATGCGAGAATATATGCTTTCACACTGCTGAACATGACATTTGAACGTTCATGTACAACAAGAAAGGGGGGAAAAGGATAATGTGTGTGTACCTATTCACACAAACATACTGTATATATACAGTCGCACATTTCACAGAGGCTATGTAAGAGCCAGGATGCAGTTCCTAAGGTCTGTTGAGTCTCAGATGTTTGTATTGTTTATTCTGTTGACCCAGTGCATGTAGGAGATCCGTGCACATTTAGGCCTCACTCTGGCCTTCTATTATTTACTTTGACTGGTGTGGACAGCAGGTTGCTCTCCGAGAAAACAGAAAGGCCAAGCGAAAAGACGAGGGAATAAAGGAGGCAGAGATCGAAGGAGACAGAAAGAGATCATTGGTTCTATCTTTTTCCCCCTGTAGTTGTTCACATACTGCTTTGCTCTCCTTTTTTTTGGTTTTTCTTTGATCCCTTCTCCTCAAACCTCTGCCTCATGGGTCGTCAGCTGACAGACAGCAAGAGCAGGGTGCCACCTCCCCTCTTATCCACCCCTGCTCTCACTTTTTGCCATTTGGGATAAGCACCATTTTGCAGCCAGGAAATCATTTGGGAACCCCAGGTAAGTGAACCGAAGCCACACAGATGTTAATCTCCCCTTGGCACCCATCAGACATGCACCACACTCCTCCACTTCCTTCTAGATCTCTTCTCTTTTTTTACTCTCTCTGCCCTAAGTCTCTGAAATCTCATTGAAGACAGCAAAGCGGGAGTTGAAGTCTCTTGATTAGTTTTTTTTTTTTTTTTAATAGGAGATACTGTATATGGGGAAAGAAGTGCAACCTACTATGGCCATGCAGGCAGGTGAAGTTCTCATCTCATTCTGCTCCTCACCTCTCTCTGCTTCCCGTTCTCTTCCAACAATCCAGTTATCTGTGTCTATTACAGAGCGGTGGCTGACAGCCTGGATAAATCCTCACACTTCCAGACATGTTCTGGGGCCCTATCAGCTGGGGACAGGACCTTGAGCTCTGATGAAAAAATTGGTGCAGGGAAATTGAATTAGCTATTGTGGTTGGGTCTTCATTGATTGCTATTAAAGTTGACCTGGAGCTATAGGTRAAGGATAGATGAGGAAAGCTAAGCTTGTATTAAAGACCAAGTGCTGGTTGCCCCTAAAAGAAAAACCAGTCCCGTCAAAACCAGTGAGTCCAAATCGCTGTGATTGGAACATTTCATTGATAACAACAAATTACAATATGCACCAAAATGTGTTTTGCAGCATCTGTTAAACATCTTCTGCATTTAACAGTAATGGGCTCTTGTCTGGGATAAATTCAGCTCATAGTGGAGGTAGAATCTGACTGGTTTTGTAGATGATGTTTCAAGTCATTAGTCTCAAAATGTCCTTTGGAGGTCCCTGACATATACCCACAGTACAAAATCTCACACCCTTAATGACAAAAAAATCTCACAAATTGTAAAATGTTTATAAGCTACACGTTGTATGTCAGAAATAGCTCATAAGATTTATATCACAAAGTTTTATCATACATAAATCACATTACAAATGTAAGCATATGGCATTAAATAATAAATAAAAAAACACTCATCAACATAGTAACTGCTCAATCTTGCTTGAGTGAATAAAAATACTGCTAAAAAGTAAGGTGTGTGTAATGGAAAAAATACTTAGYCAGTAATTCGTGACATACTTTATGACTCTGTTTATTGGTGGTTATTGCCAGAACCGGGTTTGCTAACAACAGTCACTCCTATATTACTTGTACTTATCTCTGTGTTTTCTCTTTATCCAACAAAATGCTTAGGTTAAAATCTTGCTTTATTAAGATGACAAAATGGTGTTTGTTAAACAKTATTTATTGGAGACCTACTAACTGCCTCAAGAAAGCAAAAATTTCTGACAGAGCGCAGAGTTCTGTGACAAATTTTGTGCCTTGCTTTTTTATTATTTAAATCACATATTTCTGTTATTTGTTAAATAAATATTTCCACAGCAGAGTGGAAGGTTAGAAGGTGGAGCAACTCTGAGGTGTCACAAATATCAAATGTTTGATGTTTAAAAAATGTGAGCTTTTKTTTCTTTTTATTAAAGCTGTGAGATTTTGTCCTATGTACATGTAAAACACCTGCAAAATTAACTTTTCTAAGATTTATATTATGTTTTGATGTCATTCCATTATATCATTCCCTCATCAAACACATGTTGGTTTGATTTTGACAAATCCTTGAATCTTCTGTGGTAGTCATTCGGAGTTGCCTAATTGCTTGCTCATACAAAGTGCCACATTTACCCAAAGCTCCTCACTGGAAGTCAGTCCCCAGCCGAGCTCCTGCCCCATTGAACACCCCCACCCCCCCATGCCTCCCCAACACAGCTCTACCAGACTAGCAGCCAAATAATTTTTTCTTAATAATCTACAAGGATTTCATTGCAAGATGCATCTTTAAAATAGTGGAAGTTCAGGATAATGCAAAACATAGCTTCAAAATTATCTTTATTCATAGTTTCTTTGGAAAAAGCAGCTACCATTGACGTATATGTAGGAGAGGATGACAAAAATATTACCAAGCTGAAATATCTTGTAAGAGCCTTTGTACCTGCTCCGGTTCTTCAGAAAAATGTATTTCCAGGTCTGATGTGGGATCATTCGAGAAAGGTTAAACTGTATCCTGAGTTGTCATTTTCTAAAACCAATATATTAATGCCGCTTCATTTTTTTTTACAACAAAATACAATGCTCCTGTTGTAAACATCATGAAGCATTGTTGTGAAG